CGGAGTTTCATTCTTGTTACCCATGCTGGAGTGCAATGGCGCGATCTCAGCTCACCGCAACCTCCGCCTCCTGGGTTCAGGCAATTCTCCTGCCTCAGCCTCCTGAGTCGCTGGGACTACAGGCACGCGCCACCATGCCCAGCTAATTTTTCGTAGTTTTAGTAGAGACGGGGTTTCACCATGTTGACCGGGATGGTCTTGATCTCTTGACCTTGTGACCCACCCGCCTCGGCCTCCCAAAGTGCTGGAATTACAGGCTTGAGCCACCGCGCCCGGCAAATTAGAATCTTTCTACATTAAGTTTTATGCTTAAATTATTTATCTGTAGTTTAAAAAGTCCACCCATTCTAAACTCTTGTGTGTACTAGAAAAAAAAAAAAAAAAAAAAAAAACTAAGAAAAAGAAACGCAAATAAAATTAAAAATCCACCCAAAATAATTAACTCGTGTGTTTGGTGAGTGAGACATTGTCACTGCTACTTAGCAAGTCTCACCTATGTGTTGCTTATGCTTTTACAGGAAATGTCTAAGACCCATCAGTGGTGCCCAGTGCCAGCTCACAACAAAGGTGATTATGTATGTTACATAAATTGTCATTGTATAAAAACATTCCTGAGCCTCAGTGACAGTATTTATGCAGTCAATTCATCACTGAATACAGAAAAACTGGACCTTCAAGGGTTCACAAAATAATGCCCAGAACCGTCTTTGTTCTAATGTAAGACGACCTTTTAGATTCCCAGACTTATAGTCAAGCATAAGCCTTTGCTATTTTGAATTAAAATATAAACAGAAAAAGCTTTCACCTTGTTTTTTGTGTCAGTGGGAACACCTTCTGGAATTGCAGGTGCAGATGCTGCTTCATCCAAATAAGAACTGTCTTCATCAGCCAGAAGCTCATCACCCAGTGCATCCAACTCTGAGATCAAAACAGTCAACATTTTTTAAAAATGTAGGCAAGAAAACTGGCAGCTAATAAATTCTCTCATTTACTGATGAACTTGAAAGAAGGCAGTGAAAGAGGGTATGAGATTGTTGTATGCTGTGTGACCATTACATGAAATCAGACTCTAAAAATAAGTCTATGGTAAAATAAAAATAAGTTGGAAGTAGTCAAGAGGAATGACAACAGCAGGTAGAGACTCATCAGGGGCAACTGAAGATGGGAAATTGAAAAATAAAGAAATAAATGAAAAAAAAAAAAAGGTTCTAAGCAAAAATAGACCATGGAGAGAGCGGGAAAGAAGCAGCAGTAATGTAACAGGGGAATCACACAATAGAAATCCAGTGTGGAATGGTTCAGTCATCTACCCGGTTACTCATGCTAGAAACTGACAGCCACCCTTGACATCTCCCACTTCTTCCACATCCAACCAATCAATAAGTCTTGTCCACTCGACTTTCTAAGATTTCTTCAATCTGTCCACTTCTGTCTGTTTCTGCTACCATCACCCTAGCTAGTCTCAGCCACCATCATCTCTTAAATGACTATAGCAATCGCTTCCAGACTGCTGTCCCTGAGGCCACTTGACAACCCTTCTCATTTTTTCATGCTAACCCCTACTCATCCTTCAGGTCCCATATCTCTCCCCGACTACTAACTAGGTTAGAGTCCCTTAGTATGTCCTCCATGGTACCCCCTACTTCTTCCCTATAGCCTGTGCTCTAGTAATTAATTACTTGAAGCAAACCATTTATGTCTTGCACTGGTAGAGGAGAAACTTCATGAATGTAGGGACTGCATTTTTCTTCAGTGCTAAATTCCTACCACCTTGTATAGTACCTGGCATACAGCAGGTGCATATTAAGTATTTGCCAACTATTGTTTCTTTTTTTTTTCTTTTCTTTTGAGAGAAGGTCTCACTCTGTTGCCCAGGCTACAGTGGCATGATCTTGGCTCACTGGAACCTATACCTCCTGGGCTCAAGTGATCCTTCCACCTCAGCCTCCAAGGAGCTAGGACCACAGGTGCATACCATCATGCCTGGGTAATTTTTGTATTTTCTGTAGAGACAGGGTTATGTCATATTGCTCAGCCTGATCTTGAACTCGTGGGCTTGAGTAGATCTGCCTACCTTGGCCTCCCAAAGTGCTGGGATTACAGATGTAAGCCACTGCATCTGGCCCTAACTATTGTTTCTTAATTGGTTATGCTGTTCTGATGGAAAGGACTCCAACTAGGAAAATAGGGAGAACAAAATCAAAAGGAATACAGCAAGGAAAGGCCAGATTGAGGATACTTACACATACTAAGCACCAGGTCAAGGCCTGTACCTGGACCTTCCGTCAGAGTTGATACATCCCACTGTTATTGGTGGAGTATGCAATCTGATGTGGCTGCCTCGCAAGCTCTTTGCCCAGGAACAGTACCATAAACTAACCTTCAGGAAATCCTGATAGAAATTTTCACTAGCATTGGGGAAAATGTTCCAGGCAGTTGCTCCTTTTGGACTCCAAAACTAAATATAGATTATTTTTCTCATAAATTACCTGCTTCTAGGTCATCTTCATCCAGTTCTGGGGTGCCGTAACTGCGACTCAGTGCTTCTTGGATTTCATTTGCATCTTCCATCATATCCTCTAGCTGGTCTTGTAAATCCTATGGAAATATGTATGAGAGGATTTTCTCATTTACCGTTTTCTTCTAAGTACCCACTTCCCCTACATTCTCCTTTGAATATAGACATGAGCAACTTTTAAAAAGATAATGTAAAATGCCAAGCACATAAACAGTTCTCAACAACTGTTAGTTCACCTCCCCGTCCCAGTCTTTAGCTAGTAATTTCTTAATGTCAACAACTGAGCAGACGCTCCTCTGAAGGACAGGTTCAAGTGACTCTTAAACATCCCTTCCAATTAAAAGTATGAGAGATTGCTTAAAGAATTAAAAATCACAAGCCCAAAGATGTCCTCTAATAATAACTATGAATGTTACTGACCCACATAATCCCCCAACTATTTTTGGTGGCAAAATATGAACTTAAAGCTTAGAATTGGTGATCTCACATTTTATTTTATTTATTTTTATTTTTATTTTTTTTTGAGACGGAGTTTCGCTCTTGTTACCCAGGCTGGAGTGCAATGGCGCGATCTCGGCTCGCCACAACCTCCGCCTCCTGGGTTCAGGCAATTCTCCTGCCTCAGCCTCCTTAGTAGCTGGGATTACAGGCACGCGCCACCATGCCCAGCTAATTTTTTGTATTTTTAGTAGAGATGGGGTTTCACCATGTTGACCAGGATGGTCTCGATCTCTAGACCTCGTGATCCACCCGCCTACATTTTATTTTTTACTTTATTTATTTCTTTCTTTCTTTATTTAGATGGAGTCTCACTTTGTCACCCAGGCTGGAGTGCAATGGTGCAATCTCAGCTCACTGCAACCTCCGCCTCCCGGGTTCAAGTGATTCTCCTGCCTCAGCCTCCTGAGTAGTTGGAGTTACAAGTGCGCACAACCATGCCTAGGTAATTTTTGTATTTTCAGTAGAGACGGAGTTTCGCCATGTTGGCTGGGCTAGTCTCGAACTCCTGACCTCAGGTGATCCGCCCACCTCGGCCTCCCAAAGTGCTGGAATTACAGGCATGAGCTACTGCACCCAGCCACATTTGATTTTAAAGTGCTTCATGGAAGTCCAAAGTCCTATGTGAGAACAGATGATCATCCGCTCTCCACTATTACAGAATGTATAACTTGAACATTAAATCAAGCAACCATCTTGATCTAAACTATCAATCCTTTTCTAGTTAATGAAGACAGGGAAGTTACTGAGACAAGCAAATTATTCTTCTCAAGTCAGCCAAAGATGATTATACTGTGTAGAGAAAGAAGGCAAGAGTAGAAACTACTGAAGTGGTACAAAAAGTTTGTTGTACATGGCCCATCCTGGATGGAGAACCAGAAGGGGAATCATGATAGGTGTCACAGTTGAGACAAGGCTGGTGAAAAAATGGACCGAGGGCATAAATCATGTATGAATAATCTACCTGTGCTCAACTGGGAGATTACTACAAGGCTAAAAATGCAGTTGTCCCTTGATATACGCAAGGCATTGGTTCCAGGATGTCTGCCTATACCAAAATGTGCCCATATCCAAGTCCCCAGTGGGCCCTCCATATAGGTGGTTTTGCATCCTGCAAATACTGTATTGTCAATCTGCTTTTGGTTGAAAAATATCTTCATGTAAATGACTCATGCAGTTCAAACTGCACATGCTGTTCAAGGGTAAACTATAATGTGAAACCAATCTAAGAAGTGGTATAGTATCACAAAGGGCAGCTGGTAATAATGGTTAGGAGTGAGACTCTGGAGTCAGACATACCCAAGTTCAATTTTGCCATGACTCAATGAGAAGTAATGTCTCTAAGCCTTATTTTCCTCGTTTGTAAAATGGAATTATTAGTAGCCACATCTCACTGGGGTTGTTGTAAGGGTTTACTGGAATAATATATGTAAAACACTAAGCACCTAATACTATATATATTCACTGTATTAAGTGTGTGCATAACAACAATTTGCTCTTCATATATTAAAATTCCACACAGATGGAAACAGAACTAGTGCTGATAAAGCAAAAGGACCAAATCAGCACCATTTATCCTTCAGAATTTCTACAGCAATGCAAGACATTTGATAATTCTGTCAGGCACAGTGGCTTATGCCTGTAAACCCAGCACTTTGGGAGGCCAAAGTGGGTGGATCACTTGAGCTCAGGCGTTTGAGAGCAACCTGGGCAACATGGCAAAACCTTGTCTCTACAAAAGATACAAAAATTAGCTGGGCATGGCACATGCCTGTAGTCCCAGCTACTCAGTAGACTGAAGTGGGAAGGTGGCTTGAGCCTGGGAGGCAGAGGTTGCAGTGAGCTGAGACTGAGTCACTGTATCCAACCTGGGGAACAGCAAAAGAAAAAGGAAAAAAGAAAATTCCTTCCTGGCCCCCAAATTAGAGTGAGTTTCCATATAAAGGTGAAAAGGGTAGTGAAATGGAGGGGAAAAGAATTTTTTTTTACTTTGATTTTCTGCATTTCCAAGTACCAAACTGCAGCATTATATGCATGTTTAACACTCTGCTACACAGAGAAGCACTGGCTGAGTAATAATTAAAAGACAGTGAAAATAACAGAGAAAGCTAATCAAGTCAAGCTTATACAATAGTATTACACATCAAAGCATGTCTTCCCAAATCGTCTATGAATAGGATTCCTAGCAACAGACTCCAGGATAGACACAGAAAAAACTCATCCCACAAAGAATTAGCTGGTTCTCTATTGTATAAACAAACAAAAGCAATATAAAAAAATATAAGCACTAAGCTAAAAACAACATTGATGTAGTAATATGCAGAAACTGAAAAAAGAAAAACAGACCTACACACACACAGAGAACAGCAAAATAAAAAGTTAAAGCTATAAAACAATGGAAATGTTTTCCAAGTAAAGCATTTTAGAAAAATAAATCTAACCAAAAAATTCAAATCTAACCAAAGACACATACACACCAAAAGAGTTAAAGGGGCTCTCCACCTGTCATGCTGGCAATCTATTGGAGGACAGGAAAAGGATAATTAGGCAGGGAGACAGACAGACAACCGCAGGTGAAAGACGAAGAGACAAACAAAACATTCACAAAGACTAAAGTTTCTCTTTTGTTCATATTAAATACCTCTAATTAAAACACAAGGAACCCTAAAAGCAGAAAATACCATTGTATTTCATTACATTTTATTAGCAAACAGTATTATACAAAAAAAGATGGCTGGGAGTGGTGGCTCACACCTGTAATTCCAGCACTTTTTGAGGCTGAGGTGGGCGGATCATCTGAGGTCAGGAGTTTGAGACCAGCCTGGCCAACATCTCCGCTAAAAATACAAAAATTAGCCAGGCATGGTGGCGCAGGCCTGTAGTCCCAGCTACTCGGGAGACTGAGGCAGAACTGCTTGAACCCAAGAGGTGGAGGCTGCAGTGAGCCGACCGCACCACTGCATTCCAGCCTGGGTGACAGAGCGAGATTCTGTCTCAAAAAAAAAAAAAAGCATACACAGAACATTTTTATCAGTGAAGATCCTACGGAGTATCACAAAGTTTAATTCCGTGCATGCAGACACTTGTGGAGGATTAGAAACAGCCAAGGGCAACCTGAGGAGGGGTGCTTGAAAAAATAAGAAAGGGGAGGAATGCCTTCACTCTTACTAAAGATCAGCATTACCAGAGACTACCTTTGCAGAGGCAATAAAATGCCTTGTATGCAGTAACTGCTCACCCAACAAACACTGCTTGAATCAGGCTGTACTGCTTTCTCTCCTTCTCTCCTGTTTTTTATTTTTATTTTTATCTCCTTTTATAACCTCTGATTCATCATCCATCAAATACTTTCTGAGCACAAATTATGGCAGGGCATTATCGTGAGCACCGAGGATACAGCAGTGAACAAAGTAAGTCCTTGCACTCAAGGAAATGAGCATTCTAGTCAGGGGGTAAAGGTCAAGAGCAGCATTTTATTTACAGAAAGGAAGACTCTCTCTCCTCTGACCAGTTACCACTCACTTCCTCTGCTATCTCTTCTTGCCACCTGGGCTGTTCATCTGACAGCTAGGAGCTGCCAAGCTCTTAGGGCTCACCTCCCTGGTCAAAACCCAATTCCAATAAGAAATGCTAACTTTAAGGAACTAATGACATTATTATTAAAAATCTAAGGAGAATTACTAGAAAAGGGATTTACCAAGTCTACTATGCCAGGAGTTAGGTTAAGCCCTTTACATACGCTTTGCCTATATACCTTCATTTAACATTCATGACAATCCTGGGAATAAGCAACAACATCACTACTCTACCACTGAAGAAACAAACTAAAAGTCATTGAGTTAGTTAAAAGTAACTGCTGTATGCTATTATAGGCCAGGCATTGTATGCATAGATATACTAGCTCATTTATTTCATCCTCATAATATAGATGTTCCTTGACTTATCATAGGGTTACATCCTAATAAACCCATCATAAGTTCAAAATATCTTAAAGTAGAAAATGCATTTAATACATCTAACCTATTAAACCATCACTTAGCCTAGCCTACCTTAATTGTACTCAGAACACTTATACATTAGCCTATAGTTGGGCAAAATCATTTAACGGCCTATTTTGTAATAAAGTATTGAGTATTTCATGCCATTTATTGAATATTGTACTGAAACTGAAAAACAGAATGGTTATGTGGATACTCAAAGTATGGTGTCTACTGAATGCATATAGTATTTGCACCATCATCAAATTGAAAACGCATTAAGTTCAACTGTCTTAAATCGGGGACTGTCTGTAACCGTATGTGGTACTAGGAAACTGAGATATTTGGTACCCTTTCTTGAAGTCACTCTACTAGTAAATGGCAGCCCGAGGATTTAATTTCTCTACTGTGCTCTTCCTATCACACACACACGCTGGTTTGGATTCTCTCAGAAACTAGTGTACCTTCTTGCAGAAACTAGCATACATCTCACCTCTATCTGGTCGATTTTCACTTGCTTGTATGCCTTCTTCATTTCCTTTACTCCCAGTTTCATAGCATCAACCTAAAAAAAGGAAGAAGAAAACACAATGTCTTAGGTAGTCATGGTGGTTAAATTGTCTTTATTTATTTATTTATTTATTTGAGACAGAGTTTCGCTCTTGCTGCCCAGACTGGAGTGCAACAGCTCAATCTCAGTTCACTGCAGCCTCTACCTCCCCGCTTCAAGTGATCTTCCTGCCTCAGACTCCCAAGTAGCTGAGATTACAGGTGTACGTCACCACACCCAGCTACTTTTGTATTTTTTGTATTTTCACCAGTTTGGTCAGGCTGTTCTCAAACTCCTGACCTCAGATGGCCCACCCAACTTGGCTTCCCAAAGTGTTTGGATTACAGGCATGAGCCACTGCGCCTGGCCAGTTAAACTGTCTTTAAAAAGCCATAGGAAAAGAAAATAAGTATAAAGAAATGAAATAATGGGAAAAGGAGTACCGTGGTCTTGGTGTCCTTCAATGACTGAATGGTATAATTAGCTTGTTCCATGTTGAATGACTGTTGGGCGAGATTGTCTCGCTGCTGCTCATACCTTTTCAGAGTAAATTGAGAATGGCAAATATATGAGCCAGATAGAAATCCTGAAGAACAAAGTATCCTTACACTAAATAAGAGTATTTTCTTTAAAAAAAAAGGAGCAAAAACCTTAAAAATTAGATGACACACAGAAAAACTGGCAAAAACAATTTAATCATTCTAACACAAATAACATTTGATATGTCCCTCCAGTCTTTTTCCTTTGCATGTACAATCATGAGTCGCTTAACAATGGGGATATGTTCTAAGAAATATGTTGTTAGGCAATTTCATCACTGTGCAAACATCAGACAGTGTACTCGCACAAACCTAGATGGTATAGCCCACTACTCACCTAAGCTATATGATATAGTCTACTGCTTGCTCCTAGGCTACAAACCTGTACAGCATGTTACTCTACTGAGTATTGTAGCCAATTGTAACACAATTGTAAGTATTTATGTATCTAAACATCATATAGAAAAGATACAGTTAAAATACAGTATTATATCCTTATAGGAGCCAGAGTGATATAATGCAGTCTGTTCTGTCATTGACAAAACCATTGTTATGCAGCACATTACTGTATTTTAGTTATAACACTATTTTCCAATTAACATTATAGCATTTGCTTTTTTCTGTGTTGCTGCATATTTTAATGTGTCTTTATAATTATTTCCTATGATAAATATCCAGAAGTGAAATTCTTAGAGCAAAAGGTAAAACTATTTTTAAGGCTCTTCATACATATAGCTAAATGTTTTTCCAGAATTTTGAACTCCTTGAAGACAGGCAGATTTTATTTTCTTTATTTATTTACTTAATTATTTGTTTAGAGACAGTCTCGCTCTGTCGCCCAGGCTGGAGTGTAGTGGTGCCATCTCAGCTCATTGTAATCTCTGCCTCCTGGGTTCAAGCGATTCTCCTGCCTCAGCCTCCCAAGTAGGTGGGACTACACGCCTGTGCAACCACGCCTTGGAGTTTCACCATGTTGGCCAGGCTGATCTCCAACTCCTGACCTCAAGTGATCTGCTATTTTGGTCTCCCAAAGTGCTGGGATTATAGGCATGAGGCACTGTGCCCAGCCTCAGGTGTATTTTATTAATCTTGTATTCATAAATAGGTAATCCATCTGACTTAATATAATGTCTGGTGTTCAAAATGTTTTTAAAATAAAGTTTTATATCAAATTATAATACTACTCAAAGACTTCTGTCACTATGGTCTTTATGCAATATTTGGAAACAATCTAACTATCCAACCAGAAAAAGAATGGTCCATTCATGGTGCAAGCAAATGGTAGAATATTATAATCTCATTAAAAAAAATAAAATTTCCAGGCCGGGTGCGGTGGCTCAAGCCTGTAATCCCAGCACTTTGGGAGGCTGAGGCGGGTGGATCACGAGGTCAAGAGATCGAGACCATCCTGGTCAACATGGTGAAA